GGGGGGGGGGGGGAATTAGTCCCCCGAAGCATGAAGTGTCAAAAATTACACTACTACATGGATACTGTTATAAAACAATAAAAGAAGAATATTACATAGGAAATAGAAAGAACTCTTATTGATTTGGGGTGAATTACAATGGAATAGAACCCTCTATTTATAGGGGGAAATGACTTAGCCATCAAGTAACAAACCTTAAAATCTTTCTAAATATAGACATTCACCTTAAATACAATTCTATTTATAACACTCCCCCTTGAATGTTTATCCAACAAATAATGTGCCTCGTTAAAACCTTAACTAAAATAAAACCCAGTGGAAAAAAATTCTAGTGAAGGAAAAAGAGTACACATGTTTAGGAATACGCCTTTTGGTCATCTCGTTAAAAATCTTGCAAGGAAAACTCAGTGGGACAAAACCTTGTAAGGGAAAAAAAGTAAAACGCATTAACTATTAACTCCCCCTGATGAGAGCATCAATTCACATCTTTAAGCCTTCGCATCCCGATCTTATACACTAGCTTCTTGAAGGTTGACGTCGGCAGAGATTTGGTGAATAAATCATCCATATTAACTCCAATAAATATGTTACACCTTGAAATAATCATTCTTGATAGATATATAATGTCTTCATATAATGTCGTAGAATAGCCTTTTCAATATCTCCACAGAGGTATTCTCGCTATAACATTATCATGCTTTTAGTTATATCAAGATACATATGCTTTCCTGAGCCGAGGATCTATTGGAAACAACCTCTCTATCCTCACAAGGTAGGGGTAAGGTCTGCGTACACACTACCTTCCCCAGACCCCACGGTGTGGGATAAGACTGGGTATATTATTGTCGTTGTTGTAAGATACATATGTGCACAAATTACACTTAGGATATGATACTTCAGGACCAAGAATTGTATATGCTTTAAGCGATTTAAATCTTTCAGGGATTGTCATAAGTAAAGTTATATAAGTCATATAAATGGACTTTTATTACATCAAGTTTTCATGTCATGCTAGACATATAAGATAGATAAACGTGATTGCACACACCATTGACTTTATACTTTCAAGTGTTTGAACTGCAGGTCCAAAACTACATGTTTTTCATATGAAACCAATTCTATTTGAATTGTTTCTCCAGAGTTAAGATCCTCATGTATATTTAGCGTTATCTTGGATGTAATCGGCGAACATTTTATATCAGTTCCAACCACCTTTTTTCATAAAGACACGACATAGAAATCTCTTCATTTACATTTTCAGGTACCTGAACCTCTCTTGAGATTTTATGAAGTATTATGTCATGTGATCTTCTAGATCACTTGCCTCCTTATTATGATCATTTTGATCATTTGCTCATATTTTTTTATCAAGAATTTTATTTGAAACCGATTTGTCTATACGCTTTAAGCGTACCTTAGACTTTGTCCTTCTAGGACTTATTCTAATATGAGCATTTACAGTGAGAATATAGTTACATTCTTTGGGTCAGCAAATGCATCTAGAATGCTTTGCAATATATTGTAGATGAATTATCTTCTTATGAACTTCAAGTTCATATTATCTTATTCGAGAATCTAGGTGTACAAATGATAATTCATTCCAAGTAACTTTTTTTCAATTTTTATCTTGTCTCCCCCTCATGTTAGAAAAACTAACTTGCTTCCTTAACTTTGAAAATCCACCTTTGTGTATTATGGTGTTAATCAAAATTACACCGCACATAATAATAATATGGAATTATTTAGTTTCTAACCCTGAACAACTTGTGAGGGGAGAATGTAATATATTTTCGTATATAACGTATATCAAACTGATATAGATACCTTTGTTCTAATAAGCAATAGTTTAGTTATTAAGTTGAGGCACTCAATAAATTATTTTGCTAAACCAACTGTGTGTAAACCAACTTATCAAGATGAACTATCTTGAATAAAAATCTGGAATATGCTCTAAATTAAATTATTGAGCAAGTTATTTGACTAACACCATGTTGCGAGTTAATAATAATCGCACTTGTAACCATCTCATAGATGCATCTTATGTTATATACATGGCAGGTGAATGAGCCCATATTCACCTTTGATATTGATCTATTAATTAATGAGAACAAGGAACATAAGAGAATTCGTAAAGAATTTTCTAGTTCTTTAATGTGTACCCATGTGAATTCTCTTTTATTTTTGCACATCATACTTATATTAATATGGCTAAACCAGTTATGCCAACTGGATAAATTATCAATACTGATAAATTTTAGGTTTACACCATGACGTGTGCAATTATCAATAAACTCAAAGTTTATTATTATATGAGTTTTTATATCAATAAACTTATAGTTTATTGTGGCATTCTTTTATTTGTATAGTACAAACTGGAGAATAAAGCGGGTAACTTTTCACATACATATTATCCCGCTATAAGTTGTAGTAATAGAAGATATTAAATCTTTCCTGTATTTATAGTCTCAATATAACCAACCGCTTTCGCGAACACTTTAGAAACTAAATAAGTTTCTTTTAGACTTACTATGACACAATACCTTATTGATAATCAATTTTATTTCTCCAAAATAGTGATAATTGGATTGTCCAAAGCTCTCAATTAATTTTGTACTAACACATATTCATCAACATCCATATGGTGAATATCTCTTTCAAGGAGAAAGTCATACCATTATGGTCATGGTCAAAATTATATGCAAGATATGTTTCTTGCATTACTGTTGTCCTTTAATAATCACATTACAAAAATATTTTGGCGTACAATAGGTACTTAACCAATGACCATTCATGTCACAATAATGACATTATTTTCTTATTTCATCTCAAACCTCATTTTAGAGGTGAGTATGGTATATTCACTACCACTAGCACGTTCATATTCCTCCAAGAATGAATATGTATTCATACATCACATGTTGTCACATTCACATCATGAATGGAGCACAATCAACTATATGTGCTTTACAACATCTCATGCCTAATCGATAACAAACATTACTTTCACATAGTGAAAGATTATTTTGAGAATCCTTATTATTCTCATTGCCATAATGATGACGATTATAATTTCGTCTATTGTCACATCCACATCCATTGATACTTTCACGGTAATAATTTTGTCTTCTTTCAGACTTATTACATATTGCTACCATATTCTCTTAAGGAAACGAGAATGAAGCAAGTTCAAAATTATATGCAAGATATGTTTCTTGCATTACAATTGTCCTTTAATAATCACATTGCAAAAATATTTTGGTGTACAATAAGTACTTAATCAATGACCATTCATGCCATAATAATGACATTATTTTCTTATTTCATCTCAAACCTCCTCCTTCTAGAGGTGAGTGGTATATTCACTAACACTAGCACGTTCGTGTTCTTCCACGAATGAATATGAATTCATAAATCACATGTTGTCATATTCACATTATGAATGGACCATGATCATCTATATGTGCTTTACAAAATCTCATGCCCAATCGATGACAAGCATTACTTTCACATAGTAAAGGATTATTTTGAAAATCTTTATTATTCTCATTACCACAATGATGACGATTATAATTTTCGTCTATTGCCACGTCCACATCCATTGATACTTTCATGGTAATAATTTTGTCTTCTTTCAGACTTATTACATATTGCTACCGCATTCTCTTAGTGGAACGAGAATGAAACAAATTCAAAATTATATACAAAATATGTTTCTTACATTACTGTTGTCCTTTAATAATAACATTGCAAAAATATTTTGGCGTATAATAGGTACTTAACCAATGACCATTCACGCCATAATAATGACATTATTTTCTTATTTCATCTCAAACCTACTTCTAGAGGTGAGTGGTATATTCACAAACACTAGCACGTTCATATCCTTCCACGAATGAATATGTATTCATAAATCACATGTTATCACATTCACATCATGAATGGACCATGATCATCTATATGTGCTTTACAAAATCTCATGCCAAATCGATGATAAATATTACTTTTACACAGTGAAAGATTATTTTGAGAATCCTTATTATTCTCATTACCACAATGATGACGATTATAATTTCGTCTATTGTCACGTCCACATCCATTGATACTTTCACGGTAATAATTTTGTCTTCTTTCAGACTTATTACATATTGCTATCATATTCTCTTAAGGGAACGAGAATGAAGCAAGTTCAAAATTATATGCAAGATATGTTTCTTGCATTACAATTGTCCTTTAATAATCACATTGCAAAAATATTTTGGCGTACAATAGGTACTTAACCAATGACCATTTATGCCATAATAATGACATTATTTTCTTATTTCATCTCAAACCTCCTCCTTCTAGAGGTGAGTGGTATATTCACTAACACTAGCACGTTCATGTTCTTCCACGAATGAATATGTATTCATAAATCACATGTTATCATATTCACATTATGAATGGACATGATCATCTATATGTGCTTTACAAAATCTCATGCCCAATCGATGACAAG